CGCTCTTCCGATCTCCCCAAAACCCCAAAACCCCATGAGCTCAATTTTAATGAATTTCATAAATTCTAAGTAATGAAAAAAAGCTTTCAACATACCATTAATTTTAATCAGAATTCTTAAAAATCACTATTTAATCAATAATTTTCTCTTCAATATTACAAATAAATTAAGTCCTAAAGATATGGATATGAATATTGACTCAGATATTAAATAACCCTTGCTAGATGTGGATAAAAATTCTCAATCTTAGTCTAATGGAGTTAAATGCAAAACTCACTTATCTAAAGAATATCAATGGATATTGGACAATCATAGAGAAGTAGATTATTCTAAGAATGAAGAGAGGATTAAAAATTTTACATTCAAATTCGAAAAAGCAGAAAGAAAAGTTGATATTGTTTAAATTATTATGCTAATCCATAGAGATTTAATCTTAGTAGAATATTATTATGATGGAAATAGGAATACTAGATAATTTGATTTTATCAATTTTCAAACTTTAGAATTGAAAAAGACCATTTGCTAGAATAAAAGTGATTACAGAAGTAGAATTTTTCACAAAGTTTTTAACGATGTTGACTATCTGTTTTATCAAGTAGATTAATTTGTATACTTGATGAAACTTGAAGATTCTATTGAATAAAGAGAAGCTGAGTAGCATTTGATTGAATTTGAATTCGATGGATGCTATCCATTCGTTTATGCATATATCATAGATGAATTCAACATTATGATTACTTACAATGATTATACATTTATATTTAAGATTGATGGGACATCTTTAGATTAAATCAATTAAAGCAATTAAAAAAATTTTTAAATTAGAGATATGTTTAAAAGTAGGTACAAATAACAATTAGAGATCTAAAATCAGAAATTATTTGTGAAAAATTAGACATAAAGTTACTATCAATTTTATAGTGACGATTATAGTAGGGTGTGCTACCATCTTAAGAATCACTTTATTTTTCATACTTATAGCGGCAAAACTATCATTGTAGATAGAAATACACTTGATATTGCTAAAGAACTTGATTAAATTTATTACTCCATCAAGTATCTAGACTTCTATGACTATATTTTTGACTAATAATTGAATATTTATGAATACAAAAATCTTGATGGTTTTTCTTTAAATAAACTAAAGAGGCTTCATGATTCTAATGTCGAGAGAATGACTAAGATTGCAACAACTCCGAATAAATTTATTATATATTATGATAATAACATTCTTGTTTTAGATTCTAAGACATTTGAGACAATTGATTTATTTTAGAATATTACCGATGAGGTAGAAGATTTGATTGAAATAGACACAATAAACAAAAGGATTTATTATAGAGATCATTAACTCAAAGCATAAGTTAATCATTTCAATTATTAGACAAACATCAGTGCTTATTATAATATTGTCCCTCTATAAAAACAAAAGTAGCAGCTAAGAATAAAAGATTTTGATAGAATGATAAAAAACTACTTTATCTACAACTAAGATTAAAAAAAGATAATATTAGACTTAACTACTGGAATAACTAAAGAAGGATAAGAAGATATGTTTAATTTTAATAACAGTTTAGTTCACCTTTTAAATAGTGATGAAATCTTTTATAATGAAAACTTTAATGAAGTAACCAAACGAGAGTATTAGCCTATAGAGCATGATTTAGTCAATGATATATCCAGTTAAGATATTATAATGAAAAACGATGATTACTACATTTATCTTAACGGCAATCGCAAAGTTAAATGGGACGATTTTAAGTAGAAATCTGAATTCAAATTCAATAAAAGCAGCACATTTTGCATAATGTATAATCAATTTAACGAAACACAATACATCTTTGATTAAGCAACAGAGAGTCAAATTGTCTATTTTGATATATAAAATCAAAAATTCGATTCGATTGATTTGGTCGAAGAAGAATGTTTGACAATATATCCTGTTAAAGCAATGTTAAATGAATTGCAAGGCTATTTATTGGTAAAATATTATAATCAAATTAGGATATTCAGTCTTAAAAATAAAAAGCTTATTAAAGAGATACCCAATACTATTGATGAAAATTCAGTCTTTATTAAGAATAACTATATACAAATAAATTCTAAAATAGCGGGCACTACTATTTTCTTTTTCAAGAATTAAGTTGTTGACAAAATTATTACGATAAATCGAGCTCTAGAATTTGAGAATCTAAATTTATACGAAAGCTATCAAAGAGATTTTAATCAATAAACTTTTTTAATATATAAAGGAACAGATAAAGACGATGAATCTGAAATGTATAGTATGACATTAAATTCCTTTGAAGAATTGTTCAATGAGGAATATCTCAACTAAGTTATTTTCCCAGCCTTTCATTTTGATAATGCGTACAAAGTAATCATAAACTCAAGTAATGTTCAATTATATATGGAGGGGTAACAAGAAATGACTGGACATTTCTTGACTGATATTACTGATCAATTGATAAAAGAGTATAGAGAAGTATCACAAATGTCTAATGAAGTTATTATAAGAGAATTATAATTAAGTATTGATAAATACTTGAAATTCGTGGCTGGATTTGGAAATGTATTTGGAATATTTTAGAATAACTTGATTGTACTTTAATCGATTACTAAATAGCTATCTGTCAGAGAAACACAATCCTTACCTATTCTTATTTGTCAAAATCGTATTAGTGGAGAATCCCCTCTTGATTTTTCCATTAATAATAACCAACAAAAGATAATCAATCTAATTCTCTCAATAATTCTAAAATACTAAAATAACATTCTGTTTAACCAATTAGTAGATAAAAATGTATGCGATCTTATCAAACAATAGATTGACTTATAAGAATATTTTAAAAGCAAATTACCTATCTATGAGATTCTTCACTAATCTTTTCCAAGTTAACATCATGACGATTCAGAATTAATTGAAGGAATTAACTTAGATAAGCCTTTGTAAATAAATGAGAAGTACAATGAAATATTTAGCGGAAAATTAGAAGAATCAATAGACTGTAATGATCCTGTTGTATCAATTGAGTATTATTTGATCAACTTGCCAGTTACTATACGAACTAATCAATAAATGCTAATGAATGTGCTAAGTGAGAGTGAAAAATCAGAATACTTTGAAGATCTGATCATCCAGAGCATTATCAAGTTTAAATGGAATACTTATACAAAGTCATTTTACTAAAACAGATTCTTTATTTACTTGATATTTATGGCTTCTTTTATTTTTGATATCTTCTACTCAGCCTACGCATATTAAAATACTTTTGAGACCAAGGATGGAGAATAATAGCATGTAAACTAGGAACCTAATATGTAGGTGAAGGTCTTGACAAAGATAATATGTAGTATAGTACTTTTCTACTTCTTAATTTATGAGTTAAGACAAATCAGAGTACAAAAATTAGAGTATTTTGCTGATGGATGGAACTATTTCGACTTTTCACACATTCTTGCTTATGCAGCATTTTGTGTTTTAGAATTCACCGTTTAAAATCAGGAAAGCCTAATCTTGATTAAAATTCTGGTTATCATTCTATCTTTTATGAAGTTATTCTTCTTTTTAAGAATTTATGATGGCTTTAGCTTCTTGGTTTAAATGATGGCCGGAGTTTTCAAGGACCTCAAATACTTTATGATGTTCTTTTTAATTATCATTTTGCAGTTTGGAATGATATTCTTAGTACTTTTTAAGGCTTAAGAAATCCCAGAATATAATGGTGTTAACAAATTGGCATACTTTTTAATGGCCTTTAGAATTTCTTCTGGAGACTTTTACTTAGATGAATATCAAAACTAAGGAGAAGTGTTAGTCATAATTAGTTGGATTATCTGGCTAATTGCAGTTATGACTTTGAATATTGTTTTTATGAACTTCATAATTGCTGTGATCTCTGAGTCCTACGATAGAGTAATGTAGAAATTAGTCGCTGAATCATACAAAGTAAAATCTCACATGATTGTTGAGAGAGAGAAGCTATTCGATTAATCTGACTTGGAGAGCTTAGAATATTTCCCTCCATATATTGTTGTTAGAAGACCCTTAAATTCAGAGGAAATTGAAGGTGGGCTGTGGCAAGGATTCATCAAAGAAATCAATACTAATATCACAACAGCAACTGTTTTGTCAAAGACTGAGATTATTCAAAATTTACAATGTGTTCAGAACTAGAATCAATAAAATAGATAGTAACTTGATGTATTAATTGAACAAAACTAAAGCTAAAGCCAAATAACTTCTAATGAAGGCTTTGATGAGAAATTTACTAAGATGATAAAATAGTAGCTTGATTAAGCTTTTGAGAACAGTGACTTCAATTCAATGAAAACAGAAGTAAATGGACTAAATACCAAAGTCCTTAGAATTTAAGATGACATAGAGTTCATTAAGAGCTCTCTAACTTAGATTCTTCAAAAATAAAATCAGTGATTAATAACTGATTTTTGAAACTTAAAATTTAGTCTTATAACTCATTTCCCTATAGATTGCAGGAGTAACTTGCTTTTGCATTTAGGCATTGAGAGACATTCAAACATTTATATTCAAACGAAGAAATTAATCCCTTAAATATTAGATTAATTTTATTTCATAAAACTTTAACATACCTAATTATTATATATATCTCAATTAAACTCTAATATTTTAGATTGCGGGGTTTTGGGGTTTTGGGGTTTTGGGG